AGCTGATGCTTCTCCCTTGACTGGTGACGATGCCGGTGCTGCTTCTGCCGGTGCTTCCTCTTTAGCTGAAGACGACGCAGTTGGTGCCTCTGCCTCTGCCTCTGCCGTCGATGAAGCAGATGCTTCAGCTGGTGCTTTTGCGGCGGTTGATGACGATATGGCAGTGGCTTCTCCGGCTGGTGGTGATGATGCTGATGTCGCTTCAGCTGGGGCCGATGGCAATGCTGCTGCTGGCGCTTCTCCAGCGGGTAGCGTCGCTTCGGCTACTCCCTGTGGCGCTGCTTCAACCAGCGTTGCTGCAATCTCCTGGCCATTGGGTTGAGTGACGATGGTCTGAACTATTTGAATCGTTTGAAAGTTGCTACCATTTTGCGGTGCTCCAGACTGGGATGGTAGTTGGCCTTGTCCATTCGGTGCGAGTTGATTCGCGAGATCTCCAGCAATGTCGGCGCTGCCACCCTGACTAGCACCGGGTTTGGGGGCCAGCTGGTTTGCAAGATCCCCGGCGATGTCGCTCGACTTGATGTCCCCTCCTGCTTTTTGGTTGGCACCCTGTGACGTTCCTTGCGCACCACTCTGGCCCTGCGGCTGCGGCTGCGGCTGCGGGATGCTGGTCTGGTTTGTCGATGGACTCTGCTTTTGCCCATTAAGCCCAATGAGGATGCCTTCAACGCTCGGAGAGCCTCCACCAGCGATCTGGTTTGCGAGGTCTCCACCGACATCATTCGTGTTGATGTCTCCGTTGCCACTCCTTTGGCCTTGTCCTTGGCCTTGCGCGAGCCCATTCAACAAGGCGTTTGCGTCCAGGCCGTTCTGTGCAAGCCTGGCGGCGATGTTTCCATTGTCCAGTGTACTGGCTTGCTCGGCAGCAGGTACGTTGGGTGCTTCTGTATCCCGTCGTTGCCAGTCGAGTCCCGATACCAAGTTGTCGATGCGTCTGCCCGAGACTTCGGTTCGTATGTGAGTATTGTGAAGATCAAGTACTGCCTGAGTGACCGTCTATACGCGGTCAGTGAAGAGTTCCTACAAGGAAATGACATACGTACTGCACTCATGAGCAGCAGGGCTGGTACCCAGGACGATCGAGTTCTAGTCATTGTGGAATCCTTGATGAAGTGCGAACCGGAAACGATAGAAAAGAAAATTAGTAATTAGTACATCAACAGTCCAGCTGGAGTAGAATCGAAGGCGATGTCACAGACATGCAGAACCTCTCAGTACCTGCACAGCAGAAAGACCGAAGAGTTGAAGATGGAACGGAAACGTGTGGACACAGAATGGAAACAGATAGTCCGGATGCAAACGAATGTAAGCTTCCGATAGTGCGAGAGCGTGCCAAACCGTTCAAAGGTTCATGACTGAGGCGAAAACTATCCTACTTAACGGGTCCGACATGTCAGCCCCGCTCAGCATGTTTCTAACCGTGTGGTGCTGGTTTCGAGCCTTCGCGGCTACTCGAACAGTGTTCAGGTGCGTCTCAAGGGTCGGAACGGTGTTCCTCAAATGGAGTCCCAGCGCGCAGTAGTGCAGCCGGTGATGGCATTGTCGGGTCAGCCTAGTCATCAGGGTTTGTTCCAGGCCAGCAACGCGCGACCCATGATCGACAGGCCCGCGAAAAGCGATTTTGGTGGTAGTCAAGCTTCACGATCGTCTGGCCAGCCGCTATGGTGGTGTAGTCTGACACGCGATGTGCGCGAGGCGATGGGGTTCACACCGGAGGCGTTTCACTCTGTGGAACATGGCGTTTTCTTCCTTCCGCTCGTGCATGAACGAAATCGATCTTCCATTACCGATCTATTTCCGCTCAAGTGCCGTGCAATTGAAAAGGCTTATCAATCGCAAGGCTGCAAAGTCGCGTTGTTCTGTGAAGCATGTGCGTAGCTGGTGATCGCGGGAGAAAGTCGTGCCTAGTAATCGTGGCTTGGCGACCGATGACGTGCGTCATTACCCTGGGCCTGACGCTTGCCAGCCCCTGGGGCCAACTTCCATCGCAAAGAATACGATTCTCGCTCGTCGGAGTCGGCCAAATTTTGCCAGCGCAGCGTGGAACGTTCGGCTTCCGTACGTAGCGACGTAGCTGTAAGCTCTAGGCTTCTGTATATGTAGGCGCAACTCTGCTGTCAGGGTTCGCGCACACAACAACAGCACCGTCCCGAGGTCATCATGGCCGCCATACACGTCCTCGATGACTATTATCTTGCCATCACCTTCCTCGTCACTGTTGCATACCAGCTGATCGGCTTTGCGATCGCCTTTTCGTTCAAGTTCGACAAACTTACTGACTTTGCCGGCGGCACCAACTTCATCCTTCTTGCGATCATCACCCTCTCGTGCAGCGAGAACCGAGGCGATGCGCGCAACATTGTGGTATCGCTATTTATCATGCTATGGGCGGCAAGACTGAGCGGCTTTCTTCTTTTCAGGATTCTCAAGACTGGCAAAGATGATCGTTTCGACGATAAGAGGGACAAGTTCTGGTCGTTCCTCGGATTCTGGGTGTTGTGAGTAGCTACAGACGTAAGCTGGGTGTCATTACTGATGGGTTGCAGTCAAATGTTCTGGGTCTGGACTGTATCCATGCCGGTCACTATTTTGAACTCGCCAAAGGTTACTCGATTCAATCAGCCAGACTTTGGAACAGGTTGTGATATCGCTGGCATCATCCTGTGGTCAATCGGTTTCATCATGGAAAGTGTTTCCGACGTCCAAAAGTACAGGTTCCGTACTGCTCACGGTAGCGACGGCGCCGTCTGCAACGTCGGGTTCTTTGCCTGGACGCGCCACCCGAATTACTTCGGCGAGATGCTCATCCAATTCGGTAGGTGCTGCTCTTCAAGTTTCTTTGGACCGAAACTGATTATGACAGGTATCTTTACGATCGCTGTATCCCCGGCTGCAAACAACTACGTCTCGGGCGGTGCATATGACGCTCTGTACGCGTCTATTCTCGGTCCATTCTTCCTGACTCTGCTACTCATGTTCGTATCCGGCCTTACGCTGCAGGAACGACCTGGCGCAAAGAAGAGATACGAGAAAGGCAACCGATGGCCCGAGTACGAGCAATACCTCCACCGAACGAGCATTCTCATCCCTTTCCCGCCACAGCTATACGCCAAGCTGCCCGTCATTCTAAAGAGAACCATCTTCCTCGAGTTCCCAATCTATGTCTTTGATCCGGCCAAGCATGCAGACCAAGACAAAGTGCAAGCTAGAAACGCGGAGGAAGGTCAAACCAGGCCGAGTGATGAGCAAGGCCTTAGATCTTGAAGTATCAGATGTTCGATATGATGATACCCCTTGCCGATTCTCAACATTTGTATAAACAACGTTGTTAGAGCGCTTCGTACCGCATAATCGTAATTCAATACTCTCCCAAAAGGCACACCTAAATTAAAACCAGCATTCGATTGTATGCAGTCGTCATGGGGCCATCAAAACTTTACATGCAGACAAGCCAAAGGGCGATTTCTGTGTGTTCTATGCTAGATCTGTGTACCGACGTAGTCTGATGAACCACATGTCGCCCGCCCCTGCGTTAGGGGTGGCGAGAGCTCCAAGACTACAGATCCCAGCAATCCTCGTGCAGCGCATCTCTCGCCAAAGCTTCCACCGACCTCCGAGCAAGCCGTGTCCATGTCGGCGATGACATGTGAGAATGCAATCTCCAAGTCGAGCAGTGGGATACAGCCCGCTTAGTCAGTCGCTGGGCGAATCAATCCACCCGGCCTTATCGCGCGAACATTGAAGATCACCTCACGCCATCGCATAAACCACACCCACGGGACGGTGAGAAGAGTCAAAACCATCGAAATTTGTACCTCATGCTCGCATCTTTCCTTGGCTCGACGTCTTAGTTGGACGACTAGCAGCCATGAGCCTGTTGGCGCCTGTTTTCAACTCGGAAACTACTTCCATCCCGCGTCGCCAATCGATTAGAGCACCTGGAGATGCGATTGCGTCATTGCGTCACTCTGAGATGGCCTGCTTGTAGGACTGGAGGAGCAAATATAAGAGCCTGAAAACGCGCTTCGCCCTGCCGTTCGACCACCCTAGCATATCCTACATCCTTGACACCAATTCTTTGTCATCTCAACAAGACAACATTTGTTTTCACAATCATTGCGCAAGCTAAACCATCAGAATGACTACTACCCCAATTCACTCAACTGGCCGTGGAGGTATGCCATGCATGATACTTCAACAAGCAACAACAGGAAAAGCTGATCGCTGACGTAGGCGCCGGCAACATTGGCCCCGACACCAACGTCTACACTGATGGAGGCATGGTTCGCGAGGGCGTTCAAGGCGAATCTCTCGATGGAGATTTCTCCACTGGCCGTGGGGGAGCTGGCAATATCGGAAAGTCACCTCGCGTTGGGCCGCAGTCTGACGAAGGTCGTCGCTCAGTAGACATGGTTCCCGAGATCAACCAGCGCAACGCGCAAGACGAGTTCCACACCGGCGTACGTCATATTATACGAGTAACATCAAACTCGACTGACATTACTGTAGCGAGGTGGAGCCGGAAACGTCTACAAGGAGAAGCACGGCGGGCACAGCCAATCTCCCGATCGCAAGGGACTGGGCGACAAGGTCAAGGAAGTACTTCATTTGGATAAGAAGAAGGAACATGAGCCTTCTCCTTTGGCGCAGAACACGACTACAAACTAGATATGATACCCAAGTCAAGCGACTTTCCTGGAGGACTGGTAGTGGTATGAGCGTTGGACATCGATGATACCTCAGGCTATCGTCTCTCAATATGAGACAGCCTTGTTTTCTGTTTGGTAATTAATAGACACAGACACTCTTTCAACCATGTCCTTGAGTTTTGTATGACCTACCTGGATTGATGTCTGCATTGTGCCTGACAATGGTGGGATGCACACTAGCGCGGACCACGTGGGGTAGTCGCGATCGCAAGTCGCGTCATTGGGCTCCAGAAAATCCACCAAACTTCACCCTTCGACACCTGGGCAACACCTTTGCGCAACATCACAATGAGTTCCAGCGAACATGATGCCGAGGCCCTCGTGCACTCCGATGACCCAAGTCACCCCGCGAACCACATCTGCACGCTCTGCGCAAAGTTTTATAGCTTGGGCTGGGTACGATGATCTCCAGGCGTCAAGGGGACGCGAATGAAGACACGATCGAGTGATGGCTAACACGGAGATTCCGCCAGGTGACAGGCACTGGCGGAGGAACGAGCATACGCCATGAAGACAAGATATACATTGCGCCCAGCGGCGTACAGAAAGAGCTCATGAAGCCTACCGATATGTTTGTTATGGACTTCAACAGCAAGGAGTACTTGAGGAGACCACAGGTATATCGCGCGAGATTGGGCTATGGAAAGGATGCTAAGATAAACCCAGGTTCTCAAACCCTCCGCGTGCACGCCTCTCTTCCTCGCAGCCTTCGAACGCGGCGCCGGCTGCTGCATCCACACACACTCACAATGGGCCGTCCTCGTGACCCTCCTGGTCGAACGCGATTTCGGAAAAGACGCGTGCTTTGAGATCGAAGAGATCGAACAGATCAAGGGCATACCGAAAGGGAGGGGGAAGCAGGGTAACCTAGGTTACTATGACCGGCTGCGTATACCCATCATCGAAAACACTGCCCACGAAGAAGATCTGAGAGAGAGCTTGGAAGAGGCGATGGAGAAATACCCCGATTCGTACGCGATTCTTGTGAAGAGACATGGCATTTACGTGTGGGGTGATAACGTACACAAGGCGAAGACGCAGTGCGAGAGTATCGATTATATTCTGCAGCTGGCGGTGGAGATGAAAAAGCTAGGGCTACCGTGGACGAAGTGAAGAGAAAGCAAAACTCAGGCGTAATGCGTTGCGTACACGAGTGGGATAAAATGTGCAGCCAAGAGAAGAGTGTGTGTATTGGAGGGAGAGTTCTTTGAGCTAGTCTTGAGCCGCCATATCCTCCCCAATCGTTTCGCTCTCGATTTTCTTCATCACCCAAACGTGTACAGTGATCTCTTGGTTGTTTCCGCATGAAGCCATCGAGTTCTGCCCCCAAAATCTGTACCGAGTCGCCCCTACTCACGGAACGCAACTTCGACTCCCTCTCTATGAAACGGCGGCCAAGAAACTCGAGTATCAAAACTGCATTTCCCCTGAATCCCATTCGCATGACAAGAACATGCAATCACGATTTTGTGTAAATTGGGAAATGTTGACAGTAGACCAGGAATTACCAGTCGTATGATCCATCGCAGATCCTGTTCCATAGGATCGTAGTAGTTTAGAAACTCATCCTTAAGATTTTGGGAGTATTGACAAGAGGCTTGAGACCTGTCAGCCTCCATGAGTTCTTTTTGAAACGTCAGAAGAGCGCCAATGGTCCTCACGGAAATGGATCGTATCATCGCGAAGTGGGGATTTTGGATGCGATCTCGAAAACGCTTGAAGGCTTTGTAATCGTGGAAAGCAAAAGTATTGTCGTGGTAGAAGACCAGAGCAGCCTCGGAGTAGATTTGTCGGCAGGTGCGAGGGAGGCTAAGCTGCCCTAGATTGCTTTTGAAGAGACCTGTCGATGTAGAGCCGTATTTGCGATATCTCAATCGTTTGAGGTTGGGATACACGGTTATACCGCCAAGTGCGTAGTGCCATATCTTTGTGCGGAGTTCGGCTGGTAGTCGCAGGAGAGGAGAGTTCATACTGTTGTCTTGGGCACTGGATACTGTTAGAGAGACATGAGGATCGCTAAAGTCTTTACTTACATCGTCACAAGATGGTCTGGCGTTTGTGAAAGATCCAATAAACCATCCTCTTCTGGCTCTTCGACTGGCATCTTATTACTTGAGGCGCTTGCTTGATCACACTTCTTGTGGGTTTGAGAAACCATGTGTAGTCTTGCGCCTGTGGTACTTATCGTTCGATTGGAGTTACTTTAGTTGGGTTGATGACCGAACGGCTCGGTGTATGTTCAGGGAATTGTTTCAGGCAGTGGAGAAAGTGTGGTGGGAAAGAATTCAATCTCTGAATAAGAGTTGAAGCGACTAGGGGCGTGAACGAGCACACATAGTGTCAAGTGCGGCGACTATTCACTCCGATGCATTGACACATGCTTCTGCAGCTATGGCTGCCTTACTGCACGATGAACGGTCCACTCCACTCGAGACATCAGCTGACGTACTCAAGAAGCCCCCCTTGGTACTTCAGCTCGGCCCCTTTTGACTTGACCTCGATATATCTATTCTGTGTCTCTACTTGGAACTGCCACCACCATGGACAAGTCTACGCTCCCAGCGGAGGCCACTCAATCCGTCCCTGAAGCGCGTTATAACATGCGCAAGCGTCCCGCCAAACCGACCACGAAATCTTTCAAGCGCGTCTATCGTACTCGCGGCGGTCTCGTCTCCTTGCGGAAAACACCTAAAGACCTCGTCCCCATGTGAGCCCTTCAGAAGCAGAAGAGTTGCATATATCTAATAGTATCCAAAGCGTCAAGTTCAACACGCAACAGTCTCCCCTTCTCCGCCTTCCCGCCGAACTTCGAAACAATATCTTCAGGTATGCTTTGGGAGGCGGCCGGTTCATACACCGCTGGTAAGAGATATCGCTATACGAATTGATGTGAGAAATGCACTGACTTTGTACACTCATGTCTAGGAACGGGGTAACCCGCGAATGGCGCCACCTCAACAGCGAGAACGACGTCTTCCGTTCAACACCTGCCAACATCGCCCTACCGCGCGTCTGTCGTCAAATTTACTCCGAAACAGCTATTCTAGTATACTCCGAGAACTTATTTTCCTTCAATAACGTCTTTGAACTCGATCGCTTTGTTGCTTCACGCAAACATGCTCAGCTCGAAGCCATGACGATGATTATGGTTGATATAAGTTGGGGTGCGTTTAAGAGTGGAAGAGAAGCTCTGGAGATGGTACTTAAAAGCCTGGGCAGATGCAAGGGGTTGAAGAAACTGTATATGGGAGAGCTTAGGGGTCTATGGAGCACCAAGAAGGAGTTTGCTCGTGTGAAAGAAGCGGAAGCTGCAGTTGCAAAAGGCCAGGCAGGTGATATCGAGGTTATATTTGTGTCGCCATACACATTGGAACCTCTGCCGTGGTCATAGCACTGGTTAGGGAGACAGGTCAATCGCTTTGGTTGCGTTCGGTGAGGTGCGCTTGCCTCGCACATTTCAATAGACTATGATGTCAGGTCATTTCATGCGATCGTACATTGCTTGTAAATGTCATAAGCCCGTGCACACCTAGTCCAGCTCCTTCATTTACCTATTAATCTGCCAGTCTTCTGCCTTCTACCTTCATCGAGAACACCTTACCATACCTTGGTCGGCAATCAATATATCCAATAGACTCAACCAACCAAATCAAACCAACGGAGTTTTCATGGAGTTTTCAGGAGAACTTCAGGACATAAACCGCCTGAGTACTTCGCATGCTGAGCGCATACGTCGGTGAGTTCAAGATTTCGCACATCCGCTACAACTCACTTACAGTCTGACAGAACCCAAGAGAACCAGGCAAACTCTCCTCTCCTCCGTCTTCCACCTGAGCTTCGTAACATCATCTACGAGTATGTGTTACGTATGAATCATCCGATAGAGATGATAAGAACAGCGATGAGGGACCGAGCCGGCCCCAAGCGACATCTTCTCGCCCTCCTTGGAAGCTGCTCGCAGATCAACACAGAGACCGCTATGCTGCCTTACACTCTCAACGTCTTTGCTATGACGGGTTGGATAGCATGTTCTAATACATGGAAGCTACTTCATCATACCGGCCAGAAGCAACTACAGGCCATCAAGAGGATGCAACTTAGGACATTTGTGGGGAGTATGGTCATGGGGCTAGAGGACGAGCTCGCCTCTTTAAGGGGCTTGGAGATAATTGAGATACGGGACAGCCGTGGTCGGTTGAACGAGAATCTGATCCGGCGCATAAATATGCGTATGCCGGGCATTGTTATTTCTAAGAGTGAGGCGTTTCCTTAGAAACCGCTGAGAGGTCTTCGGACGAAAAGACCCTCACGCTCGAACGCGAAAGGCAGAGAAGAGGGCCTCGGGAGGTAGGGGAAATTGCATTGGGAAGTTAGACATCGAGTATTTGTGCTACCTAGGTACCGTGGACCCGTAATGCCTGGAGAACCAGGGCCGAGTAACGATGTAGTCAAGAGACACATAACTTGATATATGGCTCGTTGAATCGAATGAGATTCAAATAGAATTTCGAATATGCGATAGATATGAGGATGAATCTGTACTACATCATGGTGCAAATGACTTTCGCGACAACCCTTGTTAGTTGCGCATTACGTCATCAATCCTGGCATCCCTACGCTAACCAAAGTCAATATCCCTGAGCGGATGGCGCCCAAGCATCTGACATCCATCTACGAAGCCAGAGAACATGCCTCGCCGGTCGCAAAGGTGTATCTTTTTTGCGTTACTATGATGCACACTGTTCGAAAGGTATGAGTCGAAGCTTCGTAGCTTTACACCTGGGCAGGAAGACCGGTTCGACGTTACCACCCGTGGACGCCTGCTACTGACTCACCATTCTTGCGCCTCTGTGTCATCTCAACAGATTATGTTGGTTCAACCTGTAATATTACCCCGTGAGTCTTGTTGGTCGTTTGATGGTCGGATGCAGTCCTGCAGGTGAGTCACCACTGCTGCATTTCTGGTACTCCAAGCCAGCGCGAACCGCTAGTGAGTATCTCGAGTGTAACCATCCACGGAATTCCAAAAGATAAAGAGTCATCTACAACTTTATAAGACCCCTTAAACCGCACTGCTACTTTCAGCACTCATGCCCTTTATGCTATCTGCATCCTCCGATATGTCGACAAGCAACTCTGCCCACTCCGGTGGATATCCTTCGATGGCTGCGGCTGAGTCGGCGAATACCTACTCCACTCAGTTACAGTCTCCGTTATACCGTCTACCTCGAGAACTCCGCGACGAAGTCTACGAATACTATGCAGATGGCAGGCGATCATACAAGTACAACAAGGAAACGAATCAGTTGCGCTATCAAGATGCAGCTGCGCGTGCAGAAAACCTCGGTCTAGTAGCGACTTGTAAGATCGCCGCCGAAGAGATGAAACAAGTCGCTTTCCAAAAAGCCGACTTTAGTACACGATGTTCTGCGTACGACATTTCGGAATTCATGGGGTTGCGTTCAAGAGTTGCTCGACTTCATATTTGTAAGTCTTGGATCGTGCTGCTATTAAAAGGCTGCGCTGATTAGACTTCGCTGTTTAGTGACGACTCTTGTTCAAACACAGCGACAACGTATGTTGGCCTGTGTGACCGAATTGCTACAAGCTTCCGACTTCATCGACATCGAAGCGCGTTATCCAAACATGGGACTATATTTCGGTGATTTGATACCGCGAGCCATTGCTGAGCAACGCGATAAGTTCGGAGTTTGGATGGGGTCGATACGCGTGAATCACGTCGCCCATCAAGCATGTATCGACGCGCTACTGTTCGCCCTACATCGTGCTCATTCTCGTAGCACGGAAAGGTTCGCACAGCTCACAAGCAGAGTTTTCGGCAAAGGAAGGTGTCCTGTTGGGTTATATGGGGATCAAAACAACATTTTCAACAAAGGCTCGTTGGTATACCTGCTTTCGTGGAGGCCAGACCCATGGTTAATACCCCAAGACGAAGATCTGTCGCGTATGGAAACTCTTCTCTGCAAGCAAAGCGACCCTAGGCCACCTCGTGCTATCGACTCTCAGCTCTGTCACCGTTCTATGGAAAATTTCAGGTGCTATTTCTCTGCTGCAGCTGTAGCCATCGACTACTGTACGTAGCCGTTTATTTCTTCTTGCTACAGTCCAACTGCGCACCAATGCTCTCACCAGGCAGTTTGAGTCGATTACAGCATTCGGATCGCATCTGAACACAGCCATGAGACCTTTTGCTAATATAACTCGTAGTACATAGCCTATCACCAAAGCAATGGCTCAACCTCCGCAAGATCATCCTATATGAGGATCGTAAGTCTCTGCTTCGTCCCGCGTGTCATGCACGTGGACTCATAGGCTTCTGTAAGAGCAATCCGGCTTTACGCATCGAACACAACATCGGACTATTGAGCAACCTGCTCCCGGATTCAACAGAGCTGAGAAATACCGACCGATTTATACTTGGATCCACTTGCCTGGGAGTAACCGTTCCATGGATAGAGGAGGCTCTTGCGTTGGCTGCCAGTGGTATAACTACCAATGCCTACCGGCTCATAATCGACGGCAGTACAACAGAGGCAGTCCAGGCTTTCAAACTCTTAAAGCATGCCGCGGCAATGCAAGAAGCCATGCTCACCCAAGTAGAGCGTAACAATGTGCAACCTACATCATGGGTCCGTTCGGGTTACGCCGAAGTCATCTCACTACCATGGCACTTACCCGCAGGTTTTCCGGACGTAATCCGCGCAATCATGACTGGCACGTCGAATATACAGTTTACAGGCCCCGTAGGCGACCTGTGGGACTCAGATCTCATGTTTCTTGAGAGTCAAGACTGGACCATCGCAGATTGGCGGAACGAATGGAAAGAAAAGATTGTACTGTGCGGACCGGAGACTACCTTCTATAAGGATATAGAGATGTGGTACGAGCTGTAGTCGTACGAGCTGGACAAGAGCCCTACCCAATATCGAGGTTTACAACACCGAACGTGCCCGCAGACGACGAATTTTCGCTGTCTATCATAGGCCTTTTTTTCACTCGCATACATAATCCACAAATCGGAAGCATACGTTAGCTCTTCTTGCGCCGCTGAAATTGATCAGCGTTTTAGACTCCGTTTACAGCCTCGCCACCTCCCTTCCCTCCAGCAGCCCCTCTATAGTCTCCCTCCACACCTCCGCTGCCTCAGCACTAATAGCATTGAGATCATAACTAACGCCGAACCCCACAATGCCCTCCGCACTAGTCGAGCTGCCCACCAAAAACTCATCCTCCCTCGCTCGAACCCCAATCTTCACATCGCGGAAGTCCGCAGCGAAGTCCTTGTCCCCAAGATTCTGAACGTCGTACGTCCCACGCTTGAAGAACGCAGCTAGAGGTCCGATGGAAGAAACGCCGCATGTAGCACCAAAACCGGCTGTGCTAGGTGCTAGAGAGCCTTGTGGATTTTGGAAAGAAGATGAGCGACGCGAGGGTGGGAGTTTTGCTTCGACGCGTTCGATTTGCGCGACGTAGCCTGTTGCGAGGAGGCGGCCTGGTGAGCCTTTATCTAGTATACCTGCTGTACCCGTCTTTCCTTTTCCTTTGAGACGTTTCTGGTAGACTCGTAACTCGCGGTTCGCGTGCTTTGCTACTAGTTTGAAGCGTCCTTCTACGGGTAGGTCGGAGGATAGGAAGGGCATTACTATACCCTCGCTAAAGGCGAGCATGCATGAGTCGGGCGGTGGCGGGTTCACGAAAAAAGCGCGGGGGTTTAGCGGGAAGGAGGCTGTGAATGGCGGGTGGTTGGTTGCTGGAGATCGCATTTCGTGAATGGCCATCATCGCTAGGCCGGCAAGGGCGAAACAGCCAGCTCCTATACTAACGTTTGCGGAGCGGCATAAGGATATCAGACGTGCTGAGGCGGCTGGCGAAAGGGATGCGGATACATGACCGCATGACATTGGTGGACGGGTCGAAGGGCTGTAGTCGAAGATCTTGTCGAACTTGGGCTCGAGTGGTACTGGCTCCTCTAACCTCTTCTCTCTCCGCAGCGGATTCGTAAAGGTGGGTGGTAGTCCTCCTTTCTTCACGTGCCGCAACACTCTGATGAGCGCCCAGAACCAGCGCTGTCTCGCTTTGTTGCCTGCAATCGGTGGGTATAGGTCTTCCTGGGCGGCTGGCAGGACTGTTTTGATCTTTTTCGGCATGCGAAGGGACTCGATGTCTGCTAGGATATCCTGGGATGGCTGGTTGAAGATGCGAATGAAATGGCTGAACCAGCTGTACGCGGAGAGACCATCGGATATTTGATGCGCAATCACGATGAGGAAGCGTAGCTCGTATGTTCCGTCTGAAAGTTGTCGCAAAGGCAGAACGTGCAGTTTCGATAGACATTTCGTGGGCTCAATGATGCGGGTTACGTTGTAGGCGTGGTGATACAACTCTTTTTCGTCGACTCTCTCATACGCTTCTTCGATCCAAACGATACTCTCCTCGACATCTTGAATGGCAGAATCTTGAGAACAGGGTACATCAACGGCAAAGCCACGTCTTCCTGTTGCTTTATCATCCATCACTCGAGACAGGAGTAGAGGGTGCTGAAGGCGAAGAGAAGTCCAGGCAAGCGCTATCTTGCGCCTCAGCTCTGATTTCGAGAGCTTGTGTTGGACTGCTAATGTGAAGAGGGACGTCATATCTGTTGCACAGTCAGTCGCGTTTCAGCCATGCTCGATATGACGAGGATACCTCTCTTTAGGCAATTGAGAGAAATGAGTATAACATATTCTAAAAATCCTACATACCTGCCCGGCCACCGTAATACGCGCCATCGGAGTCAAAAGAGGTCTCCACTAGCCCGAGAGGACGCTTGAACAGCTGGGTGCCATCTGCATCTTCTGACAGCTTCCACTCAGCATAGTTTGATGCGTATTTGTCCAACCAGTGGCTCTGCTCTTGCTTTTGTGGTGTCATGACACTTTTTTGGCGTGCAATTCCAGCAAGATGGGGGCATGCAAAGTCTTTCGCCACTTCTTGGGTGCGAGCAATTGGAGGCCCAAGCGTATGTCAACAATGAGAAGAGTGTATCAAAAGGTTAATATATGTACAGATTGAAGAGCGATAGAGCTAGAATGCGGAGTCGGAATGACCGTTAGATTGTGAGATGAGCGGGTCGGCCAGGTCCGCTCGAGTCATGGATGTTAGTCGCTAAGATCGTCATTGCCACGACGATCAGTTAATAGTACCTCACACTCTGGCGCATATGCTGTTGTACATTGACATACTGCAACACATTAATACTGTTTATTCTCGAGGGAGCATCCAGTATAATAAACCTGGAAATGAGGAAGCTCCTTTCTATGGCGCCGTGTATGTTCCTTCACGGACTGGGTATCGCCAACGCAACAATTTGATCAACCACCCCTTCCCACCACAGTCTTCTAGACTACATCCTCCATCTCGTCCTCGCCCTCTGAGTCGCCATCACCCGGACCCTCTGGCGCAGCTGCCTCTGCTTGCTTACTAGTATCGCGTTGGTTGTCGAAGACCGCCTGCCGCTTCCAGTTGCTCGCAAAGGGCCCAGACTTGACAAGCAGCGCAATGTCGCCAAGCACCTCCTTGAGATACTGCTCTGGTTGTTTTGTGCGCTGTTTGATAGCCTTCATCGGCCAGTACTGGTATTCGTCGAACAGCTGGTGCAGTACATCGATGAGGTCGGAACGAGCCATACGGGCCGCCTTGTTCTGCTGTGACTTGGCCTTGGTCGTGGGCTTGATGAAGTTCTTGAAGCGGTTGTTGAGGGTGATGGAGTTGTTGACGTCAGAGACTTCGGTGTCTTTCGTGATGATGGTGGTGGTGTAGGAGCCTTGAATGGCTTGCTTGATGCGCGCGGCGCTGAAGTCCTTGAACTCTTTGGTCTCGAGAGGGTTCGCGTTGTACTGCCGTGTCGCGTGGCCGACGAGGGCAGTCTGTTTGGGGATCGCCTTCTTGTACTTGCTCCGTTTTTGGACGCGCGCATTCGGATCTTGTACACCACCACCATAGCCTCCGTGGCCTCTCCCATAGCCGAAGCCTTGTCCCTTGAACCCTGGCAGATCCTTCTCTGTAAAGATGTATGTGTTACCCAGTTGCGCTTCGGAAGCGGCTGCAGGATCGAGTTGGAAGGCGGAGGGTAAGTTGGACTTTGCGCGCCAACGATCGTCGAGGAAGACGCGCATAGGCTTGTCCTTGTCGATGCCGCTCGTCGTCGCGAATGCGAGGACTTCGCCGATCTGTATCTGGTCGTTGTCGTTACCTTCGGCAATGTTTTCCCATTTAGACACTGCCTCGTAGAGCCAGTCTGGAATCCGCGTGAGCCAAACATCCTGTTGAGGATTGTCCTTGTTGATGCTCATCTCGCCGGTGTCCTCGTAGAAGTCATCGTCCATGAAGCCTATGTCGCCTTCCGCCTTGATGCCGGCTTCTGTCTTGATGCCGTTCATGGTAGCGAGTGTATGTGTGTTGTTGCCTGGGGTGAGTTGGTAGAGATGATGAAAGATCGACTGAACTGGGGCGCGCCCTTCCCCGACGCGCTTCCGCACTAGCGTGCCAAGCTCTTATCGATAATGCAGCTCTGGAGAGGTCGCGCTTGCCCCACGTCTGCTGCCTATCAACAACCAACAGGTACGACCGAATCTCGTTTGTAGCTACAGAGTGATTCCTTTGTCCTCGCCATTCATTTTCGTATATCTACTCGGGACGAGCCCTAAACGTCTTCTCAACCAACCCAGCTCATCCAAACCCCTCGCAATGGCTTCACAAGCTGTCACCTCGGCTTTACAGCAGATTGACGCGGCACCGGCCAGCGAAAAGCCCTCTCAGTACACCGCTCTCCTTCAGCAGATCATAGAATCATCCACCAATGTCGCCGCCGATCTGAACGCATACGCACAAACTCTCCTCGATGACTCGCTCGGCATAGTCGTTCTGCGGCCACTCCTCGCTGCTTTCGTAGATGCTTTCCGCACAGTCAAGGACGCCGACGCCAGGATCGAAGTTGGAGAGAAGGTCATCACACTGTTACAGTCCAAGGGCGCGGGCCAGTATGAGGAGCAGGACACTCAGATCAAGCATGCTCTGGCGGATGCGTTCGAGCAGAACGAAGACTTCAGACGGTCAGCGCAGACGCTCGCAACCATAAACCTTGAGTCAACACAAAAGTCTGTCTCCGCGGATGACAAGGCGCAGGTCTGGATCCGGATAGTGCGGTGTTATCTGGAGGAAGACGATCCAACGAGCGCCTTCACACATCTGAACAAGATCAAGAACATCATCTTCAACGTACAAGACAAGGCTACCAAGGTCATGTTCCAATTGAGTCAAGCCCGCATTCTCGACTCGCAACGGTCCTTCCTCGATGCTGCCCAGGGATACTACACTTTGAGTAACGAGCCAGTTGTGGACGCTGAAGAGCGCGACAACTTTCTTGGGAAAGCAATCATCTGTGCAGTCCTCGCTCCTGCTGGTCCGCAACGAGGTAAGATGTTGGCCAAGCTGTACAAGGACGACCGAGCCAGTTCCGCCGACGACTACGCCATCCTCGAGAAGATCTTCCTGAACCGTCTCCTCACACCAGCCGAGATCAACGCCTTCTCTGCCAAGCTCGAACCTCACCATCTCGCCCGGGCCGCTGATGGCTTGACTGTGCTCGACAAGGCTATCTTGGAACACAACTTGCTCGGCGCATCGAAGCTCTACAACAACATCGGATTTGATCAGCTGGGTGAACTACTGGGCATCGACGCTGAGAAGGCCGAGGACTACGCAGCAAAGATGTTAGAGCAAGGCCGACTTGCCGGTTACATCGACCAGATCGACCGATACGTTTTCTTCGAGGGCGAGGCCAGTGGTGAGCGTAAGACAGGGCACGCAGAGCGCGTTGTCGGCAAAGAGCTACGGAAGTGGGATGCCAACGTCA